ATGCTGCTACAGCTGATATATATTTGTTGTCAAAATACCTTTTAGTACATATGTTGTTAAAATAAAATGATCATTTTACTGATATGTATAAAGACTGCAAAGGCTGAAAAATCTTCAAGTCTGGATGAAATTGGAGGTAGTTTGAGGATTAAATTTTTTATGCTTTTTAAGCTAAAAAAAGGGGGGGTCGTATTATACATGAGATATTATACATGAGATCATATTATACATGAGATCGTATTATACATGAGATCGTATTATACACGAATAATTACGGTAATTACTGTTTTATTTATTTATCACCAAGTCACAACAAAACTAATTTCAGGACACCATATGTTTTACACAGTGGTTCAAGCCAAAGCCAGAAACACAGGGTCTGTTTCAGTTCGGTTCATTCTGCAGTACATTCAGCTGTTAAATCAACAGGTTCAGGAGGGAAACCCAGACCTCCTTCCACCTGCAACACTCTCCTGCTGCTTATTTCAAACTGTGTATTTTAAAAACACAAAGTTTGAGAAGGTCTTTATTGGTCTTGGCTTGTCAACATGATGTGATGTGTTGTCAGATTCCTTTAGATTTCTGTGTGCAACAGGAGACCMTCAGCGAGAACGTCTCCACAGAACATTTGGATTTTCTGTTGGCGAGGAAGCAGTGGAAGAAGATGGAGGAGGAGGTCAAAGGTCAGCCCATCCCCAAACCAGGACTCAAAGCTCAGGGGAGCTTTCAGGGCACCCACTCTGCATTATACCCACCTACTCGCAGCCCCCGCCTCCAACACAGGTAGTACTTTTATTAGTACTTTAAAAAAATGAGTTTCTTTTTTAATTGTTCCTGATTTTACATCTTTAATCTCCTGCCACTTGTAGCACTTTGAGATTTTTACTAATGAAAAGTGTGTTACAAATTAAATTTATTATTATTATTGTTATTATTATTATTAGAACGTGATGTTAAGCTCAAAAAAGTCAATTAGGGGTGTCCCGATACCGATACCAGCATCAAGTACTCGTACTCGTAAAAGCCGGCCGATACTCTTAACCGATACCACTTTTATCCCCTCCTGTGCTGCGCTGCAGCATAAAGGGTAAACAATCCATACCAGGCGGGGGCGCTAATGCACTGACAAGTTATTTCCAACCGCACCCCCGAATAACAGAAGAAGAACGATGACGGCATAATGTCAGCAGTTTGGAGATATTTTAAGATCGGCACGGAGGAAACAAACCAGCAGACTGTCTGCTGTGCTCTGCTAA